TTAAAAAAAAAAATATATATATATATATATATATATATATATATATATATACACACACACACACACACACACATAATGTTTTTGTTTTTCCGGAATTTTGTAGAAAGTCCACTTTCATCTCTGGTATGTGATATTCTAACTCACCGTTCTTGTTTTTTGTATTTTTTGTTCTTTTGCTTTGAAAGTGCATGCGACTCCACTCACCAGCAGTTGCAATTTGACCCCGCCGTCCCCCAAGAAATATTGAGAATTGCCTATTTTGATAGTTTCAAGCAAAAGCATGCTGCAAACGATGATCCCAAAGCACTCTTACAAATATCAAATGAATCCCCTGACATACAAGCATATACACTTCATCAACAGTGCGTAAATGTACATGCCAACAATTCTCTCCATTTTACTACACAGTAGTGGTGGGACAAAAAAGCCTGAACTGAACTGAAAGTTTATTTTGCTGCAAATATCGAATCGAGTTTGAAATTACTTTGAGAACTATTTGATGTGTGTATACACTGGATGACGAGCATGATTTGTGTTCATGTTAGGGAAAAATTAAGGAGGATTTCATGGAGACGCAAAACATGATCCAGAGAATGAATCGCACTGACGTGGAGATCCAGCCAATGGACAATAAGCTGGAAATCGGCCTCTGCAACAGAAAGCAGCTGCTTGAGAAGGTATCGACAGAAACATCAGCAAGTTGTTTGTATCATAGTTTTCTTCCAAAGAAAATGCCATTTCTGGGGTTTAAAGCAGGAATGAATTCAACTCAACTCAACTCAACTGTATTTATAGAGCACTTTCAAACAGCCATCGCTGCATACAAAGTGCTGTACATGGAGCAAATTAACATATACAACAAACAGTAAAGCAAATCGGAAATAAAAACAGAAGAAAGCACCGAACAGCAAAACCAAGAACAATCTAAGTCATGCTGGGTCAAATGCCAAAGAATACAAGTGAGTTTTGAGGCGGGTTTTGAAGATGGGCAGCGAGGAGGCTTGCCGAATGTTCAGTGGGAGGTCATTCCAGAGAGAGGGACAAGCAACAGAAAAGGCTCGATCCCCTCTGAGCCTCAGTTTAGTTCTTGGTACTTCTAATAATGTCTGGTCCGCATGCGGGACCTGAGGCGCCGGGCAGGTGTGTAGGGGCGGATGAGCTCAGAGAGGTAAGGTGGCGCAAGGTTATTTAGAGATTTGAAAACAAATAAGAGGATCTTGAAAATGTGCCCGGGTTGATAATTGGGTCTTTGTCCAATTCAGACTGGATTAAAATGATGCTATTATACTTAAGAGGCTCACAGGTACAGTCAAACCTCGGTTTTCGAACGTCTCGGTTCTCGTACAATTGGGTTTTCGAACAAAAATTTCGAGTTTTTTGCGCCTCGGATGACGAACAAATTTCGGTTCTCGAACTAACTGAGCGCACTTGAATGCGTCACTTCACTCCTCTCGGCTTCGCGTCCTCGTGTAGCGTCCATTGTGAGCAGATGTTTTTGTATTGTTCAAGATTTTTTCAAAAAGCAGACATGTTTGGTGAAACGCTTCCCCATGTAGCGTCCATTGTGAGCAGACGAGTTTGTATTGTTCAAAAAAAAAAAAAAAAAAGCAGACATGTTTGGTGAGATGCTTCTGTTAGCGGGAGTGAAGCCGCCCTCTTTTCAGAATGGTTTGCCCCAGCAGCACGGGGGAAGTGCGTATGTGTGTTTGTACGGCCGGCAGTTTTCAATGTAGCGGCACATAATGAACACTCTGGTGTCCGGTGTCTCATTATTATGCAATAATGATACAGAAACAGCTTCCTCGTGTAGCGTCCATTGTGAGCAGACGAGTTTGTATTGTTCAAAAAACAAAAAAGCAGACGTGTTTGGTGAGAACTACGTTATATCGGACTGTTATTTTTGCATCGTGTATCAGCCCCTAATCATGGCACCAAAGAAAGCAGGTGGAAGTGGTAAATGTAATGATGGTCAGCAGGCAAGGTTCACGTTTTATGTGACTTTTAATAACAATGTGGCAGAGCAGTAAAACATGCGGGGTGCTCACTCTAATTCAATTAGAGTGAGCACCCCGCAGGGATGGGCAAACTTTTTATGCTCGGGGGCCGCATTGACTTTTAAAATTTGACAGAAGGGCCAGGTCAGCACGAGCTATGGTACATTAAAAAAAAACAAAAAAAAACTGCATTTGTTGACAGTCCAAATCAAACATCAACAGAACAAAAGCATGAAAGTACTGTATTAATATACTTTTTTAAATGACAACAGTGTTGTTGATGACCTATTTTAGCCTGTGCATTGCTGCAGATGGGTTGTAATCAGACCAGTAGAAGTAGAGCGATACAGAAGTCCGAGGTGGTGGAAAAGATCCCCCCCCCCCTCCCTGTGTTCTGCAACTTCAAGTCAATGCGCCACCTGGCGGTGAAATGCCTGTCATTACAAGTCCAATTGAAATTAATGCAATCATTCACATCAAACATTAATTGTGGACCAACCTTCGGCGGGCCGGATTAAAACGACCAATGGGCCGGATTCGGCCCGCGGGCCATAGTTTGCCCAATCTGCTCCAACAGTTACTTCCTGGGACTCCCCCTTATAGGCGGGACCTGTCGATTAACTGGAGTAGGAGGTACCCAGTGCAAACTTTCATCAAGCGCTACTCATATAATAGCCTAATATGTGACAGTAAACCTGGTGAAGAAAAGAGGAAAATAGTGCGCAAATCTATAGAATTTAAGAAAGATTTGATCTCGAAATATGAGTCAGGTGTGCGTGTGCCTGTGTTGGCTAAGGAGTTCGGGATGCCGAAATCCACCATCAGCAGCATCCTAAAAACGAAAGACCATTTGCCCGATGACAGCTGGCATAGGCGCACGCCTCACGACAGAGAGAGAGAGAGAGAGAGAGAGAGAGAGAGAGAGAGAGAGAGAGAAAAAAAAACGTGCACACACCAGCTTTCCATCTGACATCCTAAACTCACAAATAGCTGCTCTGAATCCAGACAAGCCAAACAATGAGCTGACCACCTCAAACATTGCTTGCCCAAGAGCCCCTCAGACACGTGTCAAACCCTCAACTCCAGAAACGCAGCCCGCGCCCGCCCTTGACACAGTTCTCACATCTCTCGATACCCGACGACGACGACGCTTCCAAACCCTGGTCAACCAAGGCGAACCACAAAGCTCACTACTCGGCCTTCTCTTCTTTAGCATTTACAGGCGTCCCCTCAAGAGATGTTCCTTCAATTTTTATGTTACAATGTTAATGTTAAAATTGGTGAAAATAAAACATATTTCAGTTTGTTTGTACAGTATTTTACATATTACCTGCTCTCTTATTACATGTGTACAGTTTATGGTGTAAATTTGTAAAAAAAAAAAAAAGTGGTTTAAAAAAGTTGTTTTCTTGACTTGGAACGGATTAAAACATTTTACATTGATTCCAATGGGAAACATGGTTTCGGTTTTCGAACAATTCGGCTTTCGAAAATTCTTCTGGAACGGATTATGTACGAAAACCGAGGTTTGACTGTCTTCTATCATATTTGTCGGGCCATATGGCACACTTAAAATGTTCTGAAAAAAATCAACCGTGTGCCCGATAATCTCGTGTGCTTCATGTTTGGATGTTGGCTTTCCAGGTCGTTGTCTTTAAATTAATTCGTATTACGTTTGCGTTGTCCATTGTCCGCATCTAATTGCTTGCAGTCGCCGAGATGTTTTGGCCTGACCAGAACTCGGACGACTTCCTGCTTCTGTGTCGTGAAAGTTGTGGGAAATGTAGTCATACATTTCATGATTTATATTCTCTGTTTATCTCAATTTTGAAGATTAGCGGTTAAAGTTGAATACGTTAAAATCACTGCTGTCAAACAATTAAAATATTTAATCGTCAT